AGGAAATGGAGGCCCTTCATAGGAATGGGACTTGGATTATTACTGACCTACCCAGAAATAGAAAAGCTATAGGTTGCAAATGGGTTTATAAAATCAAATATAAGTCTAATGGTGAGATTGAAAGGTATAAAGCAAGACTAGTGGCTAAGGGGTACTCTCAAAGAGAGGGTCTTGATTATGAAGAGACTTTCTCTTCAGTAGTCAAAATGGTTACTGTTAGATGCATCATTGCCCTTGCTGTTCAGTTTAAATGGCCTTTATTTCAATTAGACGTCAACAATGCTTTTCTTTATGGGGACTTAGTAGAGGATGTTTATATGTCTCTTCCTGAAGGTTACTATGATTCTAATGATAAAAGGGTTTGTAAACTGGTTAAGTCATTATATGGCTTAAAACAAGCTCCCAGGCAATGGTATGCCAAGTTATCATCTTGTTTAAGTGAAAATGATTTTGTGCAAAGTATATCTGATTATTCTTTGTTCACTAAACGTGTGAATTCTATGTTTATCATTCTCCTCGTATATGTAGATGATATTGTTATCACAGGAAACAGTGTGGTAGAAATTAATATGTTTAAAGAGTACTTAAAAGGTAAGTTCTTAATCAAATATCTAGGAAAATTAAAATTCTTTTTAGGAATTGAGATTCTAGATTGCATTAACGGTGTTTGTATGTCCCAAAGGAAATATTGTTTGGAATTATTAAATGATTTTGGATACTTGGGATGCAAACCTTCTAGTACTCCTATGGATGTTAATTTGGTAATATCTGATTCAAGCAATTCAAAAGATTCTCTTTTATTTGATTGTTCTGGTTATCAAAGGTTAATAGGAAGGTTAATTTACCTTCTTGCAACCGGTCCTGATATAGCATTTGCTGTCCATTGTTTGAGTCAGTTTATGCATGCTCCTAGACAATCACAATTAAACCTTGCTTTAAGAATTCTCAGGTATCTTAAATCTTCACCTGGAAAAGGAGTTAGTCTAACAAGGTCAGATCTGTTTAATCTTACTGCTTTCGTAGATGCTGACTGGGGTAAGTGTTTATCCTCTAGACGCTCTATCACAGGTTACTGTTTATTTCTTGGAAATTCTCTTATTTCTTGGAAGAGTAAAAAATAGAATACTGTTTCACGCTCTTCTGCTGAATCAGAATACAGAGAAATGGCATCTGTATCTTGTGAAATTGTCTGGGTTCTAAAAATCTTGACTGATTTAAATGTTAACAATCTTCTTCCTGTAAATATGTTTTGTGATAACAAAGCCGCTATTCAAATCGCCAATAATCCTGTTTTTCATGAAAGAACTAAGCACATTGAAATAGATATTCATTATATTCGTGAAAAAATTAGTAGAGGTGTTTTGAAAATCATTAAAATTCACTCATCTGAACAAACTGCAGATATCTTAACTAAGGCGCTTAGTGTAAATCTTCATAATTACATGTGTTCGAAGTTAAAAATGATAGACTTGTTTAAAAGTCAAGATTGAGGGCGGGTGTTAAAAGTCATTCATATTCCAATCTTGACTTGTTATCATGTTAACTAATTTAGCTTTGAACTCCTTGTTTGTTAATCTTTGACAGATAAGGGTAGAATATATAAGTTGCTGAAAAGGTTGCTGATAACTCAATACATGGACTGCGCCTCACTATTTCATATTAACCAAGGGTAGCGGAGTACTAAAGGAGAATCTTCAAGGGCCTTTCTTGTCAAATCTGAAATATATATAAAGGGGCATTTGACCGACTCAGCTCATATATACAACTCAAATTTTCTCTAAATCTCTCTCACCTACTCAAGGAGCTCTCTCAATTTAGTTCTCTGTTTTCATAAAAGATCAGCCTTCGATCTTAATAAATCTATACATTGAGTTAGTATTTCTTGTTCATTTATTCTTAGATCTAATGGTGTTAGATATTTAGATGATATATTTGTAGTCAATATGTTTCTGTTTCTGTTTCTGTTGTTGAAAAGAATTTATATTGTTTTTAATATTCAAATGTTTGAAGTTTTGGAAAATAACACATGGCCTATTTGGGATTCTACAAACAGTGGAAAAAGTTCCAGAAGATCGATATGGTTCATGGAATAGAAATTAAAAGATAAGAGAAAGCTCCCCTTGCACCACTTTACAGGTCAATCTGATTAAACAAGATAACCATTCTCACCACTTTCATTTCAGGTTCCTTAGCTTGGTTATCTAATTTCCATGTGGCTTGTTGCTAGGAGTCTGTAATCTGCTTTTCCAATCAATCAATATGAATTCATTACCAACTAATTGATTACTTGGAATAAAAAGTGGAACCACCAACCT